GCAGTGGAATATTCTTGTTCTAAAATTTCCTTATTTCCTTCATTAGGAGTAGCGTGATAACTGTGATAGAAATCTCTACAGCACCACCAGGCACCTCGCCTTCCCGTCCCGACTGCGTTGATGCCGTAGCGAGCTTCTATATATAGAATTCTCACTCAAATTATCGTAATATTTAGTTTTAGAGACCAACGCTTTTCTGATGGATAAATTCTTCTTTCGTCATAATACTAAAAACACACTTCAACTCAGCTACCTATTCAATCACATGTGAGGTCCCAATCTAAAGAAAAAATTGTACTTTGTAATAAAGAACACAATTACTATGTTACAGGGATATGTATTAGTTTTCCGAAATAGCACACATCATATTCCCTCACTCTCTCGCTCTAAAAGAAACATTTCGCACCAAACGCCCAATTTTACCTGTTATGAGCTCTACAAATAAACGAAGGCTTATTAATTTATTATCAACGTTTAGCGAACCGAACGCTGTAAAATACTAACTGCATCCTGTATATTTAAAGAAAAAAAACTTGGCTATAGAAGATCGTAGCAAAACACTATTTTTTATTCAGTTCGTAAAATAATCGTAACAATCTATCTATATAGATGTTATTTTAATAATACGTATATTGGAAAAGTTTTTTATCAAAAAACATACCTTAAAATGCGCGATTTCTAAAATGTTATTGTTTATACTTTGAAATTAATAAATTTTTAATAAATATTTAACAATATAGTAGTACCACAGTTTATGAACAAAACACGTTGTTAATCTTTTCTGTAGGATAATACGCGGCTGAGATTTAACAAATTTTCGAAAGGATTTTTTTCATCAATAATCTATTTGAAAAAATAATTTGTATTTTTGAATTTTGCAAAAAGGGATTTTATTAGCTGACCGTCATCTATAAGTATGAATTACAGCAATAAAACCGTTAACAAGTTACAAATGTCTATTTTTAATTTGGATATATCTCAAAAAGCAGTAAAGTAATTGATATTATTAAGAAATGTAGTCGATAGATCTTTTTATAACGTATGACTTTCTTATTTAAAGTTTTTTTATAGAAGCAATATTATTTTAATTATTTGAAAACTGATTTTGTAACTTTATAAACTGTTTTGCGTATGTTTGTCCTCTAGTACCGACTTCCTCGAAATAAAAACTTTATTTAAAATTTCATTTCGTACACGGTAATATTTTTTTTCTACGTAATAATTTTGAAAAATTCAACGTTATGCCGTGAAATATTACTTGAACTATTTATTACACACTCAGTTCTGTTAGCTCTTTGTTCCACCAGTACGCTAGTTTCTGGTGATTGTTTGACGACTTGCGTGGTAACTACGTATCATAAGTGTCGGTTATAACTTGCATGAGTATTTCTATAATCTGTTCTACAAGATTGTATACCTTTCAGGATTACTGATGCACTAATTTTCAGTAGGAAGACCTCTCTATTCATCTTTAGAAGGCACCAGTTTCTTTCTGTTTGGTACCTCCTCTTTTCGCTTCTGCTCCGTGCAATCTTGGGGAGTACATAATGGTGATCGCTAAGTGATTCTTTTTCCAAAACTCCAGATCCCATAATGCCCTCCACTGCTTCTGAAGATACAAATTTACGCCCAGCACAAACGTAGAGTTTCCTTTTTTATAAATGTACTTTCCTGATGTATTGACTGTTGTCAGGTTATATGTGATAATTTATTTTAGAAGGTCTTCTTTTTAGACTTGAGAAAGTTTTGTTCATGTTCTAACTTTGGTGTTAAAATCGCCAACGATGGTGTATCCTTTCCACTAGCCCATTTCCCGCATTAGTACAGCAATATCTACCTTTATCAACGCGTCTGCAGCATTTGGAGAAAATTAACGGCTATGTATAACCAGCTGTTCTAACGCCATGCCTATAAAGCCGTTTCCAGTTGACAGTTCTCTAGCGTCATACAATTGATTATCAGAGACGTGTAATGGGGATTTCTGAATACGCTATTTCAGCTCATCCCTTCCGTCCATGTGTTATCGCTGTGAGAGTGTGTTTGTTTCTCACACACTCAAGCTTGGTTTTCTATTCTGTTGAAGTATCAACTACCATCCTGCCCCTCCTAGATGATCTGGCGGAAAAAGATAGAGACGAATTTGAACGTAGAAAGAGATACGTAGAGTGGAAAAGTTACTTGGGAGGGGGCGTCTGGTGAAGTAAACAATCGACAGAAAGGTAGATATCAGCAGTTGAGACGAAGGCATAACACCCGCAGTAGGACGTCTCTTGCTTGAGGAAGTTTGTGTTCACTAGGAAAATTGTTGCGCGCGACAACAGCAGCAACAACAACACCAACAGCAATGAGAATGAACAGCAGCAACTACAAAGAAACAGCAATAACAGTCACAGCAACCATTACAGCAACAACTTAATGTTAGGAGAGAGAGGACATGTAAAGATGAAGCACTTCGGCATGTGGCTGTCACAAGTTCCCGAAGGACGCAGAGGAGCAGCTGTTCGAGGATTTCCCGAGAGCATTGGGCCGATGGTTAGTGTGAAGCTTACTCTCTCTCTCTGTTTTCGCGTCCGAGTGTGCGATCTGCAATCGAGTCTGTGTTAACGTAACGAGCCGTGCAATTTTTGAGCAAAATAGTGCGTGGTTGGCTTGATGTCGCGGCTTTGTTTTATCAAGTAGGCCGTTTGCGTTACGAGCCTTCACGTGGCGTGCAAGTATAATGCGTCGACGTGCTCGTTGTTTAGTTTCCTTGTTGTGTTGTTATTGCGGAATGAAATGTTATTGTTAAAAGTGCCCGTGTGAATTATTTAATCTTTTCTCAATCTTAAGTCAAACCATCTAATATCTTTGTGGAATCCAGTTGCCCATCCAGATTTAAGGTGGAATGTATTCGCGCACTCCGAACAATCTCCCTTAATTCAATTTTATGAGCAGTTTTTGATTTGCTGAGCGGTCGAAAATCACGTAATTCGAAAATACCGTTAGAGTCGTATATTGTTACATCTTCTATCTCGAAATCAGATGGCATCATTCTGCTCCAAGATGATGATTATACCTGGTTCTCCGTTCATCATAGTGTGAATGACTATGTCTTGTGCCGATTGTACTCACATCGCTCGCACTCTATATCGCACATATATATGTATACGGCTACGTATATACGAATGTACCTAACATCAACCGAAATAGAAAATTATGAATCAGTTTTGTATACAAATAGTACTTAATTTAATTAAACTGCAATTACTTTTTACAAATAACACTGATCTCTTTCAGTCATACGGGGATGTCTATTTTTGAATTTTTGTTAGTTTTTTCACGGAGGGTGACAAGTTAGCTATAAAAAGCTATCAAAATGCGTTCAAAAGCTTACAAACGCGTGCTTTAATTGAACATAGATGATTCGTACTGTAAGAATGGAACAAAATAAAACTGATAGTTTTTGCCGTTCGAAATACACTATCGGAGCAGCTAAAGCACTCGATTAAAAGGAGGGCTACTTTGGCGTATCCTGGTTTGGCTAGATATTATAAAATCAATTATACTATGTTTTATTTCGGTTATTTTTATTAGGTGTCAAACGAGTTATTATGCGGTAACCAACACATTTTGTATCGAAAGTTTCAACATTTGTGCATTCTTGTATCGAATTAGATTTACATACCTCATATAGACATCAACTTAAAATGTATAATCTATAAAGATGAAAAGGCCGGTACATATATTTTAATAAAGAGAGGAAGATAACTTATGCAGCACTAAACTAGTGCGATGGTGCAAAGCCAAGTGTAGCGCTTGAAAACTCAGTAAGCCGTTAGACCTCGTAGTCCGAGCATTGTGGGTGAATAGCTTTATTCGTGACCAAGTATATTGGGTATAAAGGGATCGTAGGTGAGAAGGATGAGAGTTAGACATGAGTAAATAGAACGGAGAAATACAAATGAAAGTTTATATAATGGATCAGTAAGCTTACATAGAGTAACAGCACAGTGCTAGAAAGAGAGAGAAGTAAAGCTAAGTAGAGAGATATCAGGGATCGAGTCGGTACTTATAATAATTGTAAGGCTCTCCTAATATGCCAGGATTATCGTGCACCGATGACTAGACTTAAACGCTGCCTTGTGGTGGTACTCGAAGTAATGGCTACGAGTAAGTTTCTCGGAGTAAAGTTTACTCTTACGTTACTATAGCACGCATCGACGTTGATATTGAGCAAGTCGATTTTCTCTGAAGAAAGACAAATATCCACGGGTATTTGAAAATGCCTTAAGACGCAACAGAAGAACACGTATAGACGACACACTGTCAGCCAGCTAATTTCCGTGGGGAGCGTTCCCACTTTCTCTACTCTCGCAAAAACGGCATAGATCTCGTCCTATAGGAACGATTCGCGAGACACGCACACTATGTGTATACGCTCTCATAGATTCTCGCACATGCAACTCTCTTTGCCTATAGGCCCTCGATGATACAATATAACGCTGTATATCTCTCATTCTTACCTGGTGTCATCGTATCGGCTGCTTATACATAGATGTATAAATTAGAATAGAAATAGAACTATACTTCAAAATATAAGTATGAATAGAGAAAAGAGAGAGACATAACAAGTTTAACATTAAACTCGTTATAAAGCCTACATACGGATTAGGCAACACCATAATACCATATTATTGATACCCCATGCAACCGATGGGTTATTGTTATTGCATTTACAATATAACAGTCCTTCTGGATTTTATATGGGTAATAACAAAACAGAATAACCTTGTGTACTAAAAGCTTATGAGCCGTTGATATTATGTATTTTTTTCTATCTCATCCTATCGTACATTGTCAGAAACTTATAGATGGTTTTAGCATGCATATATGTGCACATGTTCTCGCAATTTCATTAATGTGCCTCATTAAAAGATACTCCTAGTTCTAATAATCGTGATTTAGATTCTTGTAATGACTATTTAATTAAGATAATTTACGGTATAAAAGATTTTAAAAAAACGATGAAACTAATGATATGAATGTCAAGAGTTTATTTTCTTATTGGGATTTCTGTAATATGAATAAATATAAAACTGACATATAATTAATAAATTTTTCAAAAGATTTTGAAAGAATTTCAAGTGTAAAGTTAATCAAGAGCCATGCCTTCGTCATCATCATCTTTCTTAGGTTCTGATGAAGAACCGGAGATTTGAGAGGATTGCTGATGCTGTTGTGATTTGTCTTGATTTTCTTCTTGAACAGATTTTGAAGAATTCTTACGATGGCTTTCACCTCCATCTTCAAGGGCAATTATAAATTGTAGAATGTTACCGGTTGTTGCAGCTTTGACTACTTCTGAACTCAAACCAAATTGTTGAATTACAGGAGCGGCTTGTCCAGATTCCAAAGCAGTCCAAAACAAAGATAAAGCTTGAGAAAACTGAGGTGAAGATAATGTTGTCGAAAGATTGTCTCCAGGTGGTAGATATTTACTTGTAATTTTTTCAAGATTTTCATTTACCACAAAAGCTGCCGAAATAACTGTGCTTAGCTCGTTGGGCATGCCTCCCTATGAAAAAATTATCCCGTGGTGAATTGAGTGTCAAAATTAAGAGAAGCATAATATAAAATGAAAAACAAAATATATTTAGCATCAACATATAGAAAATAAAAGTTCATCGAATATTAAAAATAATAAAATTTATTATGTGTGAAAACAAGGATAACTATGTTAACCGGTGTGGATAAAATTTAATGCCTCAATCGTTATGACAGCGATTGGAGGATACATGTAACACTATTATAACGTTTATGGTCGCAAATTGACGAATTTTGGATTAATGTATATATTTTTCATTTTGACGATTTATATACTACATATTTGAGGTGTAGTTTTATTGAATGAAGGGTGCTTATTAATAAATATAAAAATATATTTAGATTAAATTCTTAATTCAATATTTTGTGTAGAAATGAGATGAATGAGGATTAATAAAATTTAATAAAATACAATTTTTTAATATTCAATACGGTTTTAAGGTTAGAAAAAACAAAAATCATCGCTAATGAATTTAAAAGTCATTCGTATAAAATGATAATCTGATTAATTACACAGGTAGATATCCAAAAAATTCCAGAAACGTAATAGTATATATACAAAGGTATTCGATGCTTTCAATTTGAATCTGACTTCGTAATTAATCCATCACCTAAGGTTCTTGAGATATCTTAACCTAAAAGCGTAAAACTCACGATTATTTGCTATGTTCAAAATTATCTAACACCATGAATATATTATTTTCCAAAAACAAGTAGAGTCATGACAGAGAAGCTCTCTTACCTATTAAAACTCATATTTCGGATTAGAATTTTTTTTTTTTTCATCGACATATTATTGATTGATGTTGAGTATGTTAACAAGTTTGTAACAACATTAAAATCACAGTTTACATGAGTGTGGAGGGTTAATGGAATTGGCGTTCAGGAGTCTGAGGCTATATCATCACAGGTTACAGGGATCGGGGGTTAAGGCAATCGAGATTCAAAAGTACTTAACTTCAATCAATGATATCATGATGAAGAAAAGAAATAACTCTAATAAAAAATATAGGTGTTAATGGGCAAGAATGTTGCTTTGTCATAACTCTACTTGGTTTTAGAAAAAGAATTTATTCAAATGTCTTCAAAATATTGTAATTTTCACGATTTTAGGTTATGATATCTCAAGAATCTTAGGTGATGGACCTATTCTGAAGCCGCATTCCGATTCAGTATTTCGAAAACTTACAAGAATATAATATTACATTCCACTGTAAAATCTTGTCGGTTTATGTTATGATTACTTGACTAATTAATTATAATGAATTATGATAAAATGATAATTTGATTAATTTTGATTACTTGAGATGTGAAACAAGCTTTTAATAATTGAAATTTATATTATATGGATATATAATATAGCTATAAACCAACACTTTAGGGTATACTAGAGATGCTCTGTTGATTTGCAAAGTTAAGTAGCGTTGAGGGTGGTTACTATCTACAGGGTGACCCATTTTAATCTATGGACCCGAATTGATTCTAAACCACGACATCTGCAAAAAAATGTTTCAGACAAAAGTTGGTCAGGACAAAGGGGGCCATTTGACGGTACCATTAGTTTTGACCTTGAAGCTAATTTTGAAGGTCATTTCAAGGTCAAGATGGTTTTTTCAAATGGGAACCCCTATTTTTGAGTGCGGGTTTGGGAAGAGCGGAAAATTTTAAATCAAAATTGTCTTATGCAAAAATTATTTTTGTGACCTTGGGAAGGTCAAAAATGAAGGTCAAATGTCTGAAAAAACGATTATTCGTACTTTTTCTAAAATAACGTGGTTTTCTTGGTAATATTACCGTTCATAATGTTTGTGAAAGATCAATAAATTCTAATGGTGTTAATTACTTTGATTAGCTTGACCTTGGCATCAATTTTCAAGGTTATTTGAAGGTTATAACGCATTTTTTATTGGTAAACCATATTTTTGACTGCAGTCCCTGTTTTATGATATTAGGTCCTAAAAGAATGTAACTTCTTACATGATGACAGAGATTTCTTAGATTTTAACCTAACTTTCAGAAGATCATATCAACGTAAATTTAGGAACCTTTGTTTGATTGCTGATTCTTCTTCAGACATGAGTGGCTTTTTGTAATACAAGAAAAGCAAAACAAAAGTTATTTTATCTTACTTTTAGCGTTACCCGGAAACAACGACGTGGACGTAGTAAGTTCTGTTTCCTTTCCGGTGCTAGATTATCGTGAGTCCCCTTGCCTCTCACGTCGGGGTGCTAGATTATCGTGAGTCCCCTTGCCTCTCACGTCAGAGTGCTAGATTATCTCGATTCCCCTTTCCTCTCACGTTCGATTAGCCACGGATTAATTGTTCGAAGTTCCCTTTCGTTTTCAGAATTTTTTTCAGAGTACAGTACCTGGTCTAGCTAATTTTTGTTTCAAGTTTCTTTAAAATGCACTCGAAAATCGCTTAATCCCTAGTCTGACGCTCGTACTGCGTTCACCACTGTTAAATTTATTTTTGATATTGCTGTATCAATAAATATGTATAAGATCTAACACAGAATGGCCCTAGCTTATTGATACAATTTCTTTTTATTAATTACGAATTAAAATAATAACTGATTGAAGGATCTGACTCAAGATTTAAAACGTACTTAAAATTTTATTTTTTGTCTCCGAAAGAGAGAGAGAGAGAGAGAGAGAGAGAGAGAGAGAGAGAAGAAAAGAAGGTTTGACCTTTTTTTTTTGTTAATGTTCCTCGCAACGTAGAGAACCTCCAACGAAGCACTGCTGCAGGGAGTGTCGGTCGTCGCTGCTGGTCAGGCTGCTGCCGAACGATGCTGGCTGTAGTTGCTGGCGAAGATCTGCAGGACACGTCGGTCGAGGTTGTAGACCCAAAATCTGCAGGCGACAACGGTTCTCCTTGCAAGCGGGACTGGCCGTAATCGAGGATAAAGCTGTTGCTGGTAGAGCTGGCCTTCTTCCAACTATTCCAAAACCTGCACTCTCTGCACTCTAAACTAGACTGGACTCGCGCACGCATTTTTTTTCTCTCGCTCGTCTCGCGGCCGCTCAGCGGCGCTCGCTCTTATCCCTTCTTGACCTATTAGTTAGGCGGCACGCGACGCGCCACTTATCGGTCACACGTCGCGCGCCTGCCTATCTCTGCATAGGCCTAATGCTCTCTCTCTCTCTCTCTCTCTCTCTCTCTCTTTCTCACTCTCTCCGCGCTTTTCAACTTTTCAATTGCGCTGGCCCGTCCTTGGCGCTGAAACAAAAAGACCAAGTGTTAGGCGCATACTTTAATGCGCCCAACGTTGGACACCACGCCTTGCCGAGTGGAGAAGGAGGGATAAACGCAGACGAGAAACCGGCACACGGCCTGCTCTCGTCACAAACGGATTAAGGCAGTATTGTGGAGCGAGCGAAAGGACGAGCAAGAAGGTAAATAGCTACAATAGCAAACACCAGCGATATGGTCAGTGAGAAGGTGCGCACCAGTGACGTCACACTGTAGAGCGTTCCAACCGTCGGAGAGGCTGAAGGTCGAGGTCGGTGCCGTGTTTTTATCTTGTTTCGCTCTCTTTCGTATGTTTGGGCGCCAGCTTATGGGTGGTAACACGGCAGATCTGCTGGCTACCCCGTTGATAGATTAACGGCGGAAAGTGTTTTGTCGGGCATTTGTTGGAACATTTAGTTCTAACAAGGGAATCGGCAGGCTGAACAGCCACCGAGTCACCTTCGCGTTCGCGTTTATTATTGTGCCGCTCGTAGTGTATAGACGTAAGATCGCCGTATTGTAATCGATTGTTGACAAGTAAAAGATTAGTGTGTTAATCCGCTGTTGTGTTTATTCGCTGCTGTATCACTTCTCATCCCGACTTCGAATCTGTGCGCTTAACGTGTTTATGCTCGACGCGTTATTCAGTCGTGGGAACGTCTTTTGCTTCCCGAATCCCCGAATACATCATTTTTGCGGACGGCCGCGAGCTACCCGGACGGGAACGGTCGCTAATTCTCCGTTACAAATTTAACATGTAAGATGCCCAAAAAAGCAACGAGGGGAAGCACTCTTCTCTTACTCTCACCATAACTACGGCCGACAAGTGCGATAATGCGGCGTGCATCTATTATTGCAACTAACTTTTAGGGTATAAATTATCGAGCTGTAGATCTGAAAAAAATTAGCCAATAGATAAATTAGTTTGCAGTAAGCAAGTTTTTGAAATTTTGAAATCGAAGTTGTCTGTTGTTACCGCTCTCTTTGGTCGCATTCCGGTGCTTGCGAGGTTGGTCTGCGCGTGTGTGTGTATCGGGGCTGTGTTTTGGATGCGTTGATTGGACGTTGTTCAGTGCTAGTGTGTGGGGTGCTGCCCTTTGGCCACCCTATCCGTATCAGCTGATAGCTGTAATCTTTTTCGTCGGGGAAGCATAGGTCGGGGTTGCTATGTATAAGATTGTGTGTGCACGGATGTAAGGATGGTGCACGTAGATCGAGCGGATCCTGATAAATCTTTTTCGCGAGGTCTCGAAGCGATGCTTAGGCGTGGACATGTGAGCTAATTAGTCATGTCTAATTATGTCAGCTAATTAGTCTAGTTAATTATGTTAACTGATTATAAAATATGAAATTCAAACAAAAATAAATATGAGCATTACGCTAAATGAATATTAAATACAAAAACTAAAAATTTTAATATTAAAAAACAATCAAGCATTTTAAAAAAAGTCCGATTTTACAAATGATTACGAGCATGAATTACGATTAAAAAATGACTAATGATTTTTTATAAAACAACTTCCAGTACCAATTCCCTATAGATAAAATTAACATTAAAAAAAAATAAAATGTGAAAATTCAATATAATTAGATTATGACGGAGAATCCCGGTAAGACCGTCGTTTCTGCCGTCGGGCTCTCATCGGGGTCGGCGAGCCGCGCCAGGCTGCGAATGTGTGCGTTGCGAGCACAGACTCATGCACTTTTTTTTTTCTGAAGTGTGATGCTAGGGAAGT